GCGAAATTCAAACCAAAGGTAAAAATTTTAAGATTATTACGAGTTTAAAATGAATCAAAAATACCATAAATATTATAGTACACCAACGCTTCTTTTCCCTTCTCGTAACTTGCTGTCCTTCACTGGGGGAGAGGTCTGTCTCCTTGGGAAGGTTGTCAAATGAAAGCAGTGGTGGCTCTATCCTTCTTTATCCTCTGGAAGTGGTTTTGACAGAAACTTTGGGCTCTTTTACAAGTTTAATTTCTCCTATCAAGTTCTTCTCTTTGGAATTGCCCATTTGGCCACTTTTTCACCAACGCAGTTCCAAAGACTATCACAGTGGATGATCTTGGATTCCCTGGCCTTCTCGATGCCGCAAACCACATAACTGATTCCTTTCTGTAAAACGTATGGTCCTTCCCAGCATCTAGTTAATTTTTGAGTTCATCCTTTCCTATGATGAGAAGTGTTCAGTCATACCAGATCATCTCGATGAAATCCAGTTTTATCAGCATTAACTTCATTGTGACTTTCATTTTATCACAAGCTGATTAAAGTCTTTCCCAGGTAAAGTCATGTATGACGTCTTTTTAATTCAAATCCATAAGTGCTTTTCCAAAAACCAATCCCCCAGGACAGGCCAGAGTGTTTGGTTCCATTACTCCCCAGTCACTAGATGTAGATTTTTTCACTTCTTGGTGACATAGTGACCACTTCCTCTGTTGTCACTAGAAGTTCAATCTGGTGTGATAATTGCCATGTAACCTCGCATCCATGTCTCTGCATGAAGTCAGTTCCCAATATGCACTATTCTGTTTGAAGTTACCCACACATAAAGAGGTTTAGGGAATCTTTCTACATTAAAGGTAACTTCCAATTTTCCTATTACTATAGTTTTTGTTCACCTGCTGTTTGCATCAATCCCTCTTTTTTTCTTCATCTTTGGAAGCAGTTTCCTATCTTTCATTACCAAATCAGGTTGAACAATTGTAACCATAGAATCAGACAATGCACACACTGCAAGGATTTTTACCAATAAACCCATGAACTAGTGGACAGTTTTCCTCAAATAATGAACTTCTTATCTCATTTGGGGCAGAAGGAGTATTCCCAGCCGAACTACACCGATAATTCATTTTTTCTTGATGACTAATTATCTTTGTTGCTCCTTTGATTTCGATGGGCTCTGTCTCTTTGGCTGATTCCTTACAGTCTTGGCTGTTAACGGCCATGTTTCACAATTATATCAGTTCTATCTTACTAGTGTCCTTTGGAAAGAGTTGTTATTCCCTACAGGCTTTTGTTTGTAGTTCCACATATCCTTTCAAGTTACACTTGAAACATTTTTTGTTTTATGGTTTATTTTCTCCATTCGGTGTGACTAGTTATCTAACTAATACTTTCAGTTCTTCTGGACTTTCATGATGACGAATTGTTGTTTCAACACTATTCAATTTGATGATCTTGTAACTCCTAGATTGGTGCCTTTAGTAGTTTATCTGTGACTTTAACGGATTCGAATTCCATCGCCAACTGGAGAGCTTCCTTTAAAGATGTACACTTACTTTACTTCAACCCAACTCTCATATCCTCGCCTGTTATATCATCTATAAACTGGTCATATGCCAGCGAATCCACCATTTCAATTGGGGGTATATGGGTAAGAAAATTGGGCATGCCTTTCAAAATCTTTAACATATTCGGCTAAGGTCTCTTCTTTTCTCTGTACTTTGTTCCGGAACTTTGTTTTGGATAATTCCTTGTGGTGTGTAACTCCAAACCTGTTGGATAAGATAGCTACCAATGCTCGATATTTGTTACAGTTCGTAACTGGCATATTACTTATTGTTATTAAAATTAGTCCTTTTAAGTGATCAGCAAGATGAATACCTTTTTGTTCACCACATGCTTCACTCTGGAAATTATTTAGAGCTAAGACTGATATGACTTCCATGGTACCTTTCCATCATAGTCCGTTAGTTTCTCGATTATACAATGTTGGTGAACTGGCGTTAAATTCTGGAACTTGAATTGATAGTGTCATAGCTGGAGTAGTTTAAAAAGGTCCTGCAGTCACAGAAGCAGTGGTAACAAACGTAGACCAAATAGGTTCTCCGATTCCAAATTTAATGGAATAAAGTTGTTTTTGGTTGTAACTCAGTGCGGCTGGGTGGATTTTTGCATTTACAAATTCTTGTTTTAGTTCTTTTATTCTGTCTTTGATTTTGTTTTGTACTTCTTCGATATTATTATCACAACCTTTCTATATTTGTCATTACTGCCTTACTGTTAAATATGAAAACACTGTTTCAGGCAACAGTCTTTAAAGACAAAACTACTTTTAAAAGAGATGGGATATAACTAAAAGATCACAGAACGTGTGAATCGATGGCTTAAGAATATATTGCTAAGCTAAAATAGAACATAGAAAGGTATGAGAATTAACATAAAAATAACAGTTGAGTAAAATGAGAATTTTTTTTTCAAATGAAGTAAAAAACAGAAATTTAGTGTGGTGGAACATTAAACTAAGTAACTAAATAAACAAACAAGTATAACATGAATAAAATCAACCAACTGACTAAATATACATACAATAATACTGAATCATGTCAAGTTAAAAATAGTTTCTAGTAAGTAAGGCGCATTAATAAACCTCGTGGGCAACGGCATATAACAAATAAAGTACAGCAAGATAATAACTTTTACTGGAAACCATACTGAGACATTAAAGAATAATGCAATTTAAACTATTAACACCCATACTGTGCTTTTATATCACAAGATTATTATTTCTACAGCTGCAGTGCCGCACACAGAAGACTTGTTGAGAAAGAAATTTCTAAGACAAGTTCATTAATGTTGTGTCACAATGTTGTCAAAACTTTAAAACGCTCAGAAAATTGTACATTAGGTATTACTACAGCTTATTAAGGAAATTAGTTCATATTTCTTCCGCAGGAAAGAGATGGTGTGGTTCTTTTGGACCAACACATTGTATAACTTGTAAGACGGTCGCAGACGACATGTAAACGTTTATTGTATAACAAAGATATTAAGTGCTACGATTCGATCTGAACAACTAGTGTTTACAGGACAGAAATTTACTGAGATCAGTGGCTTTAACAAGTAATTTCATAAATCTATACCTAAGTTTTGAAACTGCGTTTAAAATATATATGCACTAAATATCACTGGCCTAATTTTAAATAACAAAAAAATATAGCCATTGTTACACTAGAGTCTACAGTCATAATGAAGTAAATGTCACCAGCCATTTTTAGACTAGAGTCTACAGTCATAAAGAAGTAAATGTCACCAGCCATTTTTAGACTAGAGTCTACAGTCATAATGAAGTAAATGTCACCAGCCATTTTTACACTAGAGTCTACAGTCATAAT